GTGCAGTGGAGACACGAAGGCCTTCTGAGTAAAATATAGGGGGAGAAAAGCATTTTGGCTAATACCTCACAGCATGTCCAAAATCAATTCTAGGCATCTATTAAGTCAAAATATGAAGGGTAAAACAATAACATCTGTAATAGAAATCATAGCATTTCTTCATGACCTTGGGGTAGGTAAGAATTTCTTAAGCTTGATACAAACACTATCTGTCACAGGGAAGATTGATAAATTGAAGTATGTTAAAATTAAGAACTTCTACTTGTCAGTAGGCCACTATAGTGAGAGAGAGAAGGCAAGCCATAGTCAGAGGAAATATTGGCAATATGTTGGCAATACCTGTGTCCACTGAGGACCCCTGGTGTCAGAGTGGTTAAAGTGCTAGGCTGCTAACCAGAAGGTTGGTAGTTCAAACCCACCAGCCACTCCACGTGAGAAAGATGTGGCAGTCTGCTTCTGTGAAGATTTACAGCCTTGGAAACCCTATGGGGCAGTTCTACTCTGTCCCGTAGGGTTGCTATGAGTCAGAATTGGCTCAATGGCAACAGGTTTTTTTTTAAATATCCGGTAAAGGATCTGTATACAAACTTAATAAAGAATTCCATTAAATAAGTAAGAAAAAGGCAGCTAATAAAATACGAGCAAAAGACTTCCACAGGCATCTTACAAAAGAAGATATGCAAGGGGCCATAAACATATGAGAATGCTCTCAATTTCTTTAGTCATTGTGGGAGCTTAAAACCCCAAGGCGATATTGCCATACACCCAGCAGAATGGCTCAGCTGAGGAGGGCAGAGAACACCAGCGTTGGGGAGGCAGTGGAACAACCGGAACTCCCAGACCGTGTCTCTGGCCACATGGCTGTGGACCAGTGACTGGCCGTCCCCAAGGCTCAGTTGATGTCTTGGCCTGTGCAGTAGTGGTAACAATGTGCTGTGAGTATGAGAGTCATGTGAAGCCCCTCGCATAGAGCCAAACACGGACTGCGTACCACTGGGTTTGTCTGTAAGGACCCCCTAGTCGTTACTAGAATTTCTTTCAGAGATTATTTAATGAAAGCTATGATGATGACACAAAATAGCAATAGCTAGTTATTTGTATACACCAACTCAGCCTGTTGCCGCTGAGTTGATTCTGACTCATAGCGACCCTATAGGACAGAGTAGACCTGCCCCATACAGTTTCCAAGGAGCGCCTGGTGGATTCAAACTGCTAACCTTTTGGTTAGCAGCCGTAGCTCTTAACCACTACACCAGTGTTATTTAGTTACCTATTTATTCCTCCCAACAATACCATAGAGATAGGTATTTAATTATTTAGGTACTATTGTTGCTCCCATTATACAGGTGAGATAACTGAGGTGCACAGAGGTTAAATAACTTGTTGAAGGTCACCTAGCTAAGAAGTGATGGAGCCATGCTCCCACCAAGCGCTGTCAAGTCAGTGTCTGTTATTCACCTGTATGTTCTACCTCCTCTCAAGAAATGACCGAAGCTTTCCACTTCCAGCTCTGGTTTCTCTGAAACTTCCATTACAAGTCCTCCTTTGAATTTGCTTTTTCCTGACTCCTTCCAGCCTGATCTCTCCTTCCTCAGTTCTGGAATGTCCTTCGTACAGTTTAGAACGGCCCCCACCATAAGAACCATAATAGTAGCAGCTAACATTCTATTGAGTGCCTACTGTGTGCCAGGCACCACGCTTGGCTCTTACTATGTGTTATCACATTGGATCCCTAGAACAACCCAGTGAGAGTCCTTGACTGTTACCACTGTTTTGTAGAAGCTAAGTTCAGAGAGGTCAAGTGCCGAGGCCACAGTTACCAAGTGACAAAGCTAGGATCGAGCCCAAGTCTTTCAGACTGCAGAGCCTGAACTCTTCACTGCTCTGTGCTGCAATGGCTGCCTCTGGTATTTGAGCACTTTGCTATGTTCAGCCTCGTGTGCTCTGATCTAACTTAGTTTATGCATCACCCCCCTTCAGCATTTATTGAGCACCTGTTGTGTATCAGATATTTCAGAGTATAAGATCAATAAGATGGTGTTCCTGACCTGAAGGAACTCGGGTCTAGTAAGAGAGGCAGATCATTGCAAAACAGGGTGGTCTGTGCAGTAGCACATGTATTACGGGTCCAGAGGTGTCGGAAGGAAGAGAGTGGTCAGATCCCCTGGGGAGTGGGATGGAGGAGGCCAGAGCTTCGTTTAGGGAGGTTCACAAAGGGATGCCTGAACCGGATTTTGAAATATGAGTTAGAGTTCGCTGGTTGATCAGGGCAGCAAGGGCCAGGCAGAGGGCCCCGTCAATAGAAGTCATGCCTGCATCAGTAGAAGTCATGCCTGGTCTTAAAGATTTTAAATTCTCCTATCACTGTTGAAGGAGCCCTGGTGGCAGAGTGGTTAAAGCGTTTGACTGCTAACTGAAAGGTAGGTGGTTGAACCCACCAGCTGCTCCTCAGGAGAAAGATGTGGCAGTCTGCTTCTGTAAAGACTACAGGCTTGTAAACCCTACGGGGCAGTTCTACTTTGTCCTGTAGGATTACCATGAGTCGGAATTAACTCAATGGCAACGGGCTTGGTTTTTCTTTTTTGGTATCCCTGTTGAGCATCTTCCCTATCTGAATTCCAAACCAATTGGGAAATGAGATGAGGGAGCCAGCAGATGGAGAACCAAAATGCCGTCATTATTGCTGATAAACACCAGTTTGGGAGATGAGCCCAATGGGCTCACGACTCCTTCCCTCCGAGGAAGACCTTGGGGCCAGCCTGCCCAGAAGAAAGTTGGAGTCTGCAGAGCCGACCCCCTCACTGAGGCCACTGCCTGCCATGGGGCCGGGAGAGTGATGCCGGTGGATGGCATCCTGTACACAGAAGGAAATGGCCAGAGTGGGGGAGAATCTCCATGGCCCCCCTCCACCAGACATGTCGTGACTGCATCGAGAGTGTCACTCGTAGCTACAGTGTGAGCGGTGCAGTGACTCTCAAACTTTAGTGCAAGCTTGTTCAGAATGCACGTTTGGGGCTCTACACCCAAGAGTTGGATTCAGTGGGTCCAGGGCAGGGAGCTAGATAGAGCCTGCAGCTTACACAGGCAATTCTGATGCTGGAGGTCCATGAACCACAATTTGAAAAACTCTGCTCTCTGAGCCTCTTGGAAAAACTCGTGGACAAGATGCACTGAGGGAGATGGAGGCGTATAGACTTAGGAGTGGGTGGCCTGCGATACATCCCAGCACCTTCCACTGCGGTGGAGCTAGCTTATCACAGAGGAAAACTGGCCTTTTGCCCCGACCTGTATCCTTGTCGGTAGAGATGGGCCCAGGTGGTGGAGGATGTCTGTTTTTGGAGAATTATCCTAGTTATGGCATGCTAAGAATTGCATGCAGTTTTTAATTAATTAAATTAATTGCTTGGTTAAATGATTATACTATACATTTAAAATATGGCAAATGGCAACAATGTTAATAAATAAAACCCAGCTCCCCTTAAGCTGTATATTGCGTTTTACTGTTTCATCTTCAAGGTTCTGCCTGTTAACACCTTACCCAGTTCTAGAAATTTAATGGAACTAGCTTACCTAAAGGAGTCCTGGTAGCACAGTGGTTAAGTGCTTGGCTGCTAACCCAAAGATTGTTGGATCAAAACCACTATCTGCTCTGTGGGAGAAAGATGTGGCAATCTGCTTCTGTAAGTATTACAGCCTTGGAAACCTTACGGAGCAGTTCTACTCTGTCCTATAGGGTTGCTATGAGTCAGAATTGACTCGACGGCAGTTGGTTGGGGTGGTATCCTACCTAACACTTCCTTGCTCTTACCATTCTCCCTTCCCAACCCCGTCCCTACAACTGAAGGTGGCTGTAGAAGAAATCAGGAGGTGACTCTTCTAAGTCACTTCCTTCTTGGCATCCCCTTTTCCTTCCCAGCCTGACACTCCAGTGACAGGTGAAGTCACTTCCATCTGTGAGCCCTGGAAAAGCCATCTCTCAAAAGCCACATTGGGAGGTCCTCCCAGGGTGACTGGCCAGACTGCTGGCCCCTGCGCTGCTCAGGCCTGGCCTCGGTGGTCCTTTTGGTCTCTCTCATCACTGGCAGAGAGGGCCGCAAGGACAGGACCGTGTCCAGCTGTCTCTGCCCAGCGTCTGGCATGGGTTGAGGGCAGCATAAGCCTTCTATGCCTGTTTGATGGATGAAGTGCAGTGACATAGTCCCCTAAATTTGTGAATTTAAAAGTTTGTACTCATCAAATAAGATCGTTGCCAACGACTTGAGTCATCATTTTCAACAAGCGTACCACATTTTATGGGAATCCCTGGGTGGTGCAAACAGTTAACGCGCTTGGCTGGTAACCGAAACGTTGGCAGATCGAGTCCGCCCAGAGGTGCCTTGGTAGAAAGACCTGGCGATCTACTTCCAAAAAATCAACCTTTGAGAAACGCTGTAGAGCACAGTTCTGACATGCATGGCAGTCACCACGAGTTGAAATCGACTTGACAGCAACCGTTCTATCAAGCATTCCAAGGGTAATCTTGATTGCACATGATTTTTGCCCTAGCCACCGGCTTTGGAACCTATCGTCCCTAAGTTATGACCCCAGCGGGTTTTGTGCTCAGCATTTGGCAGTGAGCCATGTTGCTCCACTTGCCCTACCAGCATCAGGATCATCTGGGGAGCAAGTGAAAAAGGCCTCAGCCCTGCTGAGTCATCTCCCCGAGTGGGCTCTGGAAGGTCCCAGTTCGTCCAGCTCTCCTGGTGATTCTCTTATACATTAGAGTTTGAGAATGGCAGTCTGCCTTGGTTGGATTGTGTGTCCTTTGTTATTTAATGCTTCAAAGCATTGTTTGCCATTTTTCTTGGGTGATGAGTTATGTCTAATCTAAATGGGAAATTGTGCCAAATGAATCTGGAAAAGTATAGCATTTTGTCCCTAAAATATTGCTAATGGTTATTGAACCTGGCTTTTATTTCAGTTGGTAATCTTTAGTTTTGCTTTTTTTCCCATTCTCTTAGGTATCTGTACCACGTTTTGACCAAAAACACCACAGTTACAGAACAGAACCGGAACCTGCTAGTGGAAACCATCCGTTCCATCACCGAGATCCTGATTTGGGGAGATCAAAATGACAGCTCTGTCTTTGAGTACGAATTTCTGATATTTCTTGTTTTTCTTTTTGATTCTTCTTCTTCCTTGGACTGTTTTTTCCAAATATATCCCATGAGTTCTGATGGTGTCAGGATTTGATGCTAATTTGGTCTTGCACAGATATCTATCTGTATCTGTCTATATAAACATCCTGAAACATGGTAGAAATGCAAGTCAGAAACGAGCAAGCTGTGGAAATGAGTGTCTTTAGAAAATCTGAAAATATTGTGGATAATTTTCCAAGTAGTGTCTGATTATCTCCCTGGAGAGGAGAAAAGGTCCCTGGTAGTTAGGTTCTAAGTGAACTGTAGAACCTTGTCCTGGGGGAGTCACTGAGCTCTTGATACCATAATCCATTTCACTTAAGTCTCCTAGCAACCATAGGGTGGGGCCCTGTTGCTATCCCCATGTCCTAGAGGAGAACACTAGAGCTGGAAGAGGTGGTGTCACTTGCTCAGGGTCACTAGCTGGTCAGTGGTGGAGCAGCGGTTCACACTCAGGGCCACGGAAGGCTTTTCTCTTCATCCTTGCACTTCCTAGATGAGCAATCTTAGGCCAGGCTCTTTACCTCCCAGAGCCACAGTTTCCTCATCTTTAAAGGCGCGAGTAGAAAGTACCCTGACTAGTGTTCAGTACAGAGTATCCCTCAGCAGACGAAAGTGCATGATAATAACAAAGGTGTCCCTTTGTCATTGTTAGCTGTTGGTAGGTGCCTGTTCATGGCAACCCCATGCACAAGGGAATGAAATGTTGCCCGGTCCTGCACCATCCCCATGATTGGATATGGATCAGACTGTTGTGATTCATAGGGTTTTCATTGGCTCATTTTCGGAAGTAGACCATCAGGCCTTTCTTCATAGTCTGTCTTAGTCTGGAAGCTCCACTGAAACCTGTTCAGTATCAGAGCAACACACAAGCCTCCACTGACAGACTGGTAGTGGCTGCCCATGAGGTGCATTGGCCGGTAATCGAACCTGGGTCTCCGGCACGGAAGCAGTAAGAATTCTACCACCGAACCACCAATGTCCTCCTAATGGTGTCCCTACTGGACTGTTAAAAGCAAAGGCAGTGAGCCACAAACTACTTCCCCAATAGACCTGTCTCAGTATCTGAGTGCAGAAGGATTTGGGATTGGGTTATGACAGCCACCAAACATAGATTATAAATATTATGATCTCAATTATAAATATTGAGACCACTTTTAAAACTCATTAAAAAAAAACCCACTAAAAATCAAACTATGCTCTTCAAAAGACTTCACCAAAAGCGTTTAAAAAGAGAACCTATAGACTGGGAAAAAAATTTTCGACGCACAAGTCAGACAAAGGTCTAATCTCCATAATCTACAAGAAAATCCAACACCTCTACAACAAAAAGACAAATAATCCTATTAAAAAATGAGCAA